ACGACTGGATAACACACATTGTTGTCCCCAGAGTGCTTAAAAAAGACGTACAACGTTGAGCAGAAAACTGAACGTATGAATTCACAGCGTGCATATTAGTTAATAAGTACATTTTTTTGTTAGTTTGTGTGTAAATATCAGTCCATCCAGTGTGACATGTGGGCTGCATTGAGCTGTAAGGGAAATGACATTCAGCCATTTTGGCACGGGGCCTGACATTTAAACTGATAACAGGTTAAAGTGATTTGTGGGACATCTGACCCTCAGCGGACTCTGGTTTTTTGCTCAACATTCGTTCAAGGTTGCAAACCCTCAAGTTAATCATTATGTGTCATTATTAGGAAACATTAAAGCATCAAGTGTGTGAGACGTTCTGTCCTTTTGATCTGAGCCTGGATTGAATAAAGGGAAGAGACCTGTGCGGGTGTGGGCCGGAAGGGTTTCTGATCCATAACAGGCTTAGTCTTCCTCCAAACCCAGCCTGGAACTCAATTATTTAGCCATGCAGGTCTGTGCCTCTGCTGCATGGTCTGTCACCCCGCAACGACAGGGATTTACTGGGCTGATGTGTTATTACAGTGAATGAGGGCAGAACCACCCTGCATAATAGGACTATTCTCAGAGATAGTAGAAAGAGATTTTGTTTTGATATTTTGAACTTATACTGTAATTTTTTGTAAAAAAGTAGGATGAGAAACAGTCAGACAACTTTATGTTAGCTATACCTTCGATATAGATATTTATAAATGTTTTTATAATGTGACAATGTTGTTTAATAGTATCCATCCATGCATCCATTTTCTAAACCGCTTATTCCCAAATGGGGTCCCAGGGGGACTGGAGCCTATCCCAGTGTTCAATGGGCACGATGCAGGGTTCGCCCTGGATGGTCCATCCCAGGGCCACACATATAGACACACAAAGACGAACAACCACACAAACTCACACTCACTCCTAAGGGCAATTTGGAATGTCCAATCAACCTAACATGCAGGTTTTTGGACAGTGGGAGGAAGCCAGAGAACCCCGAGAGATGTTGTATAATAGTAGAGCTTTATATTTATATGGCACCATTAATTGAATAAAAACTCAATGAGTTTAACATTGAAAAGATGTGAATCAGCATGACAATATGCTAATTCATACACATAAACATATAAAAATAGACTCATATATATACATATACACACACCCCCACCCATGTACAGGCTTCGTTTACAGTGAATCATTATTGGGAATGCATGAATACTATTAATCTCCAATATGACTTAAAGCAACATTAACTTTGAACAGATTTACACAGGACAAAACAAAATCAGAAATAAGAAATCGCTTTATTGGTCAAATATACAACGTACACAAGAATTTATCCTGGTAGCCCAGCGCCATAGAGCTATTAAAATAACAAATTAGAATGATTTAAAAAATGTATAACAATTAGTAAGTTCACATACAAACAATCAAATAGCATTATTCATTGTGGGAACATTACAAGTTCAGTTATGAATATAGACACAGTTGTGATTAACCTAAAGTCAAAGTGTTGTTTACTCCAGATATCTGAAATAAAGTAATTGGAAGCACCCTCCCTCTCTGAATTAAAGATTTAATTACTTTACAAATAATGAAACAACCATTTAAAATGTGCTTCCACAGTATGTTTACAGCAAAGAGAAAATCATCTCATAATGCAGTGAAAATATCCTGTGCAAGTTTCTCCAATACTGAACCTGGAAGGTTTTGAAGCTCATGTTTGACTTCATCGCATTGTCCAGATCTTCAGCCAAAAGATAACTGTGTGAATCTGCTTCCACGTCAAATCTGTTCTGAATAATCCCTCAGGTATTTAATGCCAACTTATGAACTCCACAAGGACAGTGTCCCATCAGAAGAAGTCTATTTATATTTAATTTTTTTTACATAACCGAAAACAATTTGCTCTAATCCGAGTGGTATGAGATATAGTGCAGAGCAGATTGCAGCTTTCCGTTTGCATTAGCGCAGCTTGTGTACACAGGTAGAGGTCCAGTGCATTGAAATCTAATGACAAACAAGCATACATGTGGCAATAAAACACATGGCATATGTCTTAGGGCAGCAATTCCCTCAGATTTTTTACTGTATTCTGTAGCCGCCAGGTGAGCATTATGCAAATATTATTTACAGAAATATAGTGAAGTAAGTGAGTTAGCAATTTTCTGACACCTTATTCTTAAGTGTTCACGTTCTGAAAAGTCAGATTAAAAGTATTAGTCCTCTCAATCATTTACCAAAGTAATTATAGAGACCTGACCAGATGGGGTTGTTAGGAAATGAGGAATGTACCATCACAGCTTTCAGGTTGGAGATCGCACATATGTACCGATGTTTCTTATAACCTTTCAATATAATTGAATCCAATCAATTTGCAGTTTGGTCAAAATAAAAGACACAAAATACACAAAATATTTGTATCC